CCACAGCAGCATTTTGTCTCTCTAAATTGCCAACATTTCATTCAACGTTGCTAAACCAGACCCCTTCAGCTATGAATGCAGCCTGAGGCAAAAAAAGGGGAAAAAAACTGAACAATTGAAGTAATTTGTTCCTGTTCAATTACAATAATAAAATATGGCTGAACTTCATGCTAAAGGGTGCAAACCTCATGTGGTTATGGAAGGAGAAGCCAGAGGTGGCAGGGCTGTGGTCAGGGACCCCCAGGCTGAGCCTGACTGGGCCAGGAGGGGAGGAGGATCCCCCTCTCTGTGCCCCATGGAAGGTGGAAGGAGGGGGTCACTGCCTGCCCATCCCACCCTGCATCCCCTTGGAGCTGCACACACAGGTGGCACAAGCAGCCTGCACAGGCCTGGACGCAGCACATGCAGTCACAGAATTATTTAGGTCAGAAAAGACCCCTAAGATCATTGAGTCCAGCCACTAACCCAGCACTGCCAAGTCCACCCTAAACCCTGTCCCTAACTAGCACAGCTGCACATCTGTACACACCTCCAGGGATGGTGCTCTCCCAGTCTGGAGGAACATGTTAAGTTTGGCTCATGGAGGCACTCCTGAATACCAAGTTGCAGAATATTTTATTTACAAAACTAATCTGAAGCCTTTACTTTGGATGATTCTTAGAAGACAGTTCTCCAGGAAATTCAGCTGATTGGGGGAAAATATTATTATTTTCTATTTATTACAGTTTAAAGTCTAGTAGAGCCTGCCAGTATTTAACACTACATATGCAAACAGCTCCTGCCCCAATAAAATACAATCCATAACAAGCAACAGGAGCTGTGGATAGAAACACAGGGAAGAGCAAAGAAAAAGCAAAAGCTCCTATATGGTTTGATAGGCAGACAAGTAGGTGGGTGTTTGAAATTTAAATACAGCCTCAACAGGACACAGTCCTCATCTCTCCTGTTTAAAGCTCTGCCTGCTGCCTAACAGGCTATAAAGGGGTACTAATGCATAGTGCTCCAGACTCCTAACACCATTTAAAATACCAGGCATTGTGTGCTAGCCTTGTGGAAAGAGGTCATTGCACTGTCATTGCCCATTATCAGAGCTTTCTAGCGTTGGACTGCTTAAAATAAGGATATTGGTCTACTGTGTTTATGTAAGCACATATTTTCTTGTAATATTCAGAAACTAATACAACAGGAAGCTTTTTAAAAAATGCTTTAAACTCACTAGTAATAGGTGAAATACAGATCCCCAGCACATCACTGGTGTGCAGCATAAAATATCCATGTGCTGATATGCACAGTCACGGGCAATGCTGCTGCTGAAGAGCTGCATCACTGGCTGCTAATGCAGCTGGAGCAGAAAGAGAAGGTTGTTAAGAGCTCTCATTCCAGCTTTATAATTAAGTTGGGACCTACAAACCCATGCAGGGGCTGTGCCCACCTCAGCCAAGCTCCGTGCAGCTCAAGGATGAGCCTGCCACAGCTGGAGGTTTAGAGCAGCACAGCTGGACATTGTGAGCACCACAGCTGGAGGCTGAGCCCACCACAGCTGCAGGCTGAGCCCACCACAGCTGGAGGCTGAGCCCACCACAGCTGCAGGCTTCCCCAGCTGCTGGGGAGCCCTCTGCCACACTGGTGTGACTGCAGGACGCAGCTGTGGCTGGCTGGGACCTGCACACTGAGTGGCTCAGTCACACACAGCCCACAGGCAGTAACACCATTTCCCCCAGCCCAGTATGTGCAAACCACAGACTTAATACCAGCCAAGATCTGAATGAAGCAGGGCACTCTGTATCTAAGAATCACTGGAAAGCTGAGCACTGGATGGTGGTTTCTACCTCCGTTAAGTTAGGCCACCTTCAGGGTACATTTGGGTTTCAACCAAATTGGTGGCTTTGGTCCAGATTCATTCTGTGGTTGGCCTTAGAAATCCAAGCAAGGTTTAGAGGCAGCAGCCTGCCCAGAGCTTCCTGCAGCCCCAGAGCAGCTCAGCCCTGATGTAAATGAGCACAGCAAATGGACCTGGCCAGGGGAACCAGCTGTGGGACAGGCAGGTGACATTTGAGGTCCCCTCTAGGCCTGTTTTTCATACAGCCTGTGCTGGATAAAGGCATTTAAAAAAACAGAGTATCAAACAGTACACGAGAAATGAATGATTGTGCCAGAGGACAGAGCAGACAGTGACCAGCTGTCCCCACAGAGGTGTGACACTGCTTTGACAGCCCTGTGTAAGAGGCAATAGACACACATACATTTGCTTAAGCATTTAATTAAAAAATAAAAGCAAAACCTAGAAAAATATTAGTGATGATTGATTGTTAAAAGTCACTGATTGGAAGTTTATGGCTTGATTTCACAGGAGTTGTCTCCAGGAGCACAAGGCAGGAGGGCAGGCAGAGGGCAGAGAAAGGAAGGCCAGGGCTGGACAAGGGAGTGGAGTGGACAGATACTGCCACAGCAATCATGAGGAGGTGGTTTTTTATCCTGAGATTGTCTTGCTTCATCTCCTTTCCCCCTTCTCCACTCTCTACTCCCCACTATCAGCATTTAAAACACCCCTGAGTTTTCCTGAGCAGGTTTGCTGTGCTCATTAAAATACTGTGAGCACTTATTGGCTATAATGAGCATCATTAAATTCTGGTAAGCGCCAGGACTGTTCTGTGGAGTTGAACAGACTCAGGTTCTGGAAGGAGAGCTCAGGGGTAGGAAGATGCTAGAAATATGACATTTTCCAGAAGAACAGAAACACAAACCTTCCTCTCCTTTCTGCTCTGCAAGCACTGGGTTAACTCAGACCTGTTAAGCAGCAGCTATTGCTCACTGACTACTCAGATCACTCCTCTGCCCCAGAAGAACTCTCAGCTCCTCTTATCAGAACAGGAACAAATGAAAGATTTTTCCATATTTGCATCTGCTCATTTGATAATTTTCCTATGTTATTTAGAGATAAAAGTCTGCCTCTAAAAACTCACTTGGCCAAGTGGTTTTCTCAGCCTCGGGGAATGGTGCAGGAGGGATTGCAGAGCAGGATCCAAAGCAGCTGGCAAGGCTGCAGGAGCAGCAGGAGATCAGGAGATGAATGGGTGCATACTGGGGCAAGAATCACATTTTATATGCCCAGTTATTGTATTTATTTCCAACTGGCTGTGCCAGAAACACTCACCCTGACTAGTGTGGCCCTGCCTACAACCATAAAGCTGCTCCCACTGCAGGACTCAGTAGCACCACCTGTGTTTTTATCACCAAATGCTGTTCATCATCCACTAGCATTAGTAGATATGAATTAACTAAGCCATACACAAATACACTTTACCCTGGAATAATCTCCAGTAATCCGAGGGCAAGTAAGGAAACAGAATCAGACAAGAAAGTGAAGATCAGTGCATGCCTCCAAAAGCCAGTCTGTATCCTAGTGGGGGGGACAGAGCTGCTGGAAATGGGAGGTTTCTGCACAGATCCCTAGGATGTGGCACTTCAGCACCTGGCCTGCAAAATGCAGTGCATCATGAGAGGGCAGTGATGGAGAAAGAGCACAGATGTTCACCTGACTTCCCAATCTGCAGAGAGCTGACTGACCACCACCAATTAGCAAAAAAGCATGGGACTGAATTATGTTATTATAAAGAAATAAAGCTGTATTCCTGAAAAGTGATCATTTGAAATCCTTTTATTTTGTTCTCAGGTTCATACCCACAGCACTGCCTGTATGTTGAATGATCAACGCTCCACCACCTCAGAAACACCTATTTCTCAACTCCATTAATCTAAAGACCATAGTTCAGCATGAAATGGATATCAAAACAGCATCCATTTCACCAGATTAAACAACTGCTCTGGTTAAGCATTAATTGCTCCAGTTTGGCCACTCTTTGCCCGCTCACAGGAGCTTTTTGTAGATTACTTCTTTATAATTGCCTGCTCCCTATGCACACAGGCACTGCAATCTTCTGCACACCTTGACAACAACCTGGTTAGAGAAAATGAACACTGCACATTCCCCTGACACAGCATTTTATCTGCTGGGTACAGGAAGCCAGAGGTTGTTTATTCAACTTCTCATGGCCCATTACTGACATAATGCTGGCCATAGCTGTTTGGGACTGTACAAGACCAAAGCAGAGGAAGAAATGCCAAAAAGACTTCAAACATGCTGCTCATATCAGAGCCTGGCTGGGAAGGTCCTTGAAAGTTGTCTAGGGAAGTGTAGCTTTACAGCTCCCTCAGGAAGTAAAACCAGGATTAAAGCCACAGACTTGGCTTCTCCTAAAGACTCAAACAGTGTTAAAATGAATAATCTCATCTGAACGAGATGGCAATGACTACTTTGAAGAAGAGATGACTGATATATCTAGTGAAAAACAAGGATGTGCCATACATAAAGGCTCACAAGCCCTGGAAGTGGAAAGCTAACCCTGGCCAGGGAGTCTGTGCAGCAAGAGGGAGCTGCTCCAGGACTGATGTGCACCAAGCACAGCAATACAAGGATAAGGACATGCTCCACCTAAGTACCACAGCCAGGGAGAAAACCTTTAAATTTTATTTTATTTCATTAAGTTTCCAGAACTACATCACCATGAATTTTCACACAGGAAAAAAACAAAACCCAAATCAAGATTTTTGTCTTCCTGGTCACAGAGAAAAGCAGAAAAAGTCTAAGACAAAAGCTCAAACTCATTCCATATCCAAGTTCAAAATAACCAATTTCATTAATTTTAAAACACTTTATAATTGAAAATTGGGAATGGGTGGCGTATATTGTTTACATAAATACATGTATATATACATATACAGCAGATAAGAGGAACATGATTTGCAGTGCTGAGCTGATTCCTCAGCTCAATGTCCAGCAGAAAGAAAGGATCATTGTGTAAATTTGTTCCTCTCTGTAAAGGGACTGTCCATGGCAATGAAACACCCCATTATTGAAGCTGTATCTGAAGTCATGCTCAGAAGAAAGACCAGCACCCTCCCTCATCTTCCCCAGACCTTCCAGGGTAACCCCTACTTACAATTGTGAAGTTCATAACCTTCAGAATCCAGATGGTCATAGCAAGGTTCACCAGGATTAAAATCATTAGGAGCAGCACAAAGAAATAGAGGCACCTCTTCCTCCAGCCATAAATCCCCACTTTGTATACCTGGGGTCCTTCCGAGGTCTGCATGGTGCTCCGCTGCGGGTACTGTTCCTGAGGCATCTGAAATGATCACAAAGAGACAACCACGTGTATTCAGGGCCAGGAGAAAGCCAGTGATAAAAACTGCTTCTGTCTGTGCCTCTTGGAAGGTCTGGGCTTTTTCAGAGTTTACCAGCTGGGCAGCAGCTCTTTGGATAGCTTGGTTATTTTTCCTTCTGCCTGGCGTGCGCAGTAAGAGACCAAGAGAGAATCTGATGTGTTAAATGTGTATGAATGCACTTATAAATACACGTAAGCATGCTGTCTGAAGGTATCCTATGGAAATCACTCTGGAGTGACTCTGCTCACTGCCCCAGGTTTTGCAAGGCAGGCACTCCAGGGCCTCCAAGGATCCTGAGGGGAAAATTCTGCATGCGTTTGGTGAAAGCAGTTGAGTTCAGCAGTTTGTTGGGAAGATGCAATATGACTTCTCAGAGGTTTAGTTTAAAAAAAAATAAAATATCATCTCAAGTAAAATCATTCCTTCCAACCAAAGACAAACAAGGCAAAGGGGGAATGTTTGCCTTTCCCCTTCCTACACACCAATCTTCCCTAAAAAAGTGAAGCTGAAGCAAAGTTCTCCAGCTGCCACATCCCTAACAATTATCACAAGAGGGAGGGAGGGAGGGAGGGAGAGAGGAGGGAGGGAAGGAAGGAAGGAAGGAAGGAAGGAAGGAAGGAAGGAAGGAAGGAAGGAATTCATGTTCTCACCCTCCGTTTTCAGGCTGAGGAAAGCCACTTTCTCAGGCTTCCCCAGGGATCATTTCTTACGTTTTCAGCTTATTTTGATGCACAGATTGGGGAGATCATCTCTAGTAACACAGAGTTTGCTGAATGTTTTGCATTTTAGACTCTAGACAGATAGGAAGCCACCAAACACGTTCTTGCACTGTGGATTCAACACCACGAGTGTCTTCCTCAGGGTTGCTGGCACTGATGTTTGTATGCAGAGAATTACAAAATTTACATCCCAGGAGGGAGCAGTGTGAGTTCCCCTGAGGGAGTGTGATGTGCATGTCTGGAATGAGGCAGTTTCAGGAATGAGATTCTACTCAGGGAGGGCAGCTGGGACACAACAAAGACACTGGGCTGGAGCAAACCAGATCTTTTCACACTGCCACAACCACGCCAACCTCTACAAACTTGAACAACAATAAATTACAGAGTTTCTTCTACCTGGGGGAAATTATAACTGCAACTACTGTACAGTCAAGAATTTTATTACCTAATATTTTAACAGGGTATCCTGGAGAGCACATATTAAATACAGCCTCTCCCTTAGAGAAAAATGAATAAATTGCATTGCTAACCCTCTCAAACCATGGAAAAGGTTTGACCAAGGAGAAACAATATGAAATACCCAGCTAAAAATACCCCTTTATTGCAAAACTTATTTATTCATTGTATCTCTGCTTTTCTTCTTTACTTGCAGTTTCTAGGATGAAGAAAATAGCATATCCAGCTGGGGTAAAACTTTACAAACATCAAAAGAATGTATAGCAACAGAACACAACCACAAAGAGCAACTTGCATCCATACAGTAGCCTGGTTTTGAGAATTTCTCTAGTTCTGATAAAATATTTAACTCACAGGTGCCCTAACAGAGATAGAGCAACTGAAGTACTGCAACATATGTGATGAGCAAGACTCAGCAATACAGTATAAATTCATTACAAGAAAATAGCATGGCAATTGTAGATATCATGTTCTTTCTATACAAACTCTCACACGGCCACACTTAAGTAATATTTAGTTTCTAGCTAGTGTTCCCCCCTCCCCCCCAAATGTAAATACTACCAAAAAATTGCTCATGTTTGTAGTTCTTCAGGGAGAGAAGACAGGATGATGGACAGAGAGTGCTGAGGTGTGTTAAACAAATGAGCAGAATAAGAAAGTCTGCAAGGCTACTACCTATGGAACCAGCTATATCCACTATCAATAATCTGTACTGTGTGGGAGGGAGAAGTATGCTAGTCATAATTTAAATTTTGGCAACATTTCCTGACTCAAACATTGAAAAGAATTAAGGCACCAGACAAAAAAGTACTGCTTTGAAAGAATATCCAGTGGCTGCACTTGCTGGTGACACCTCCCTCCTTTCAATTACTGAACTAAGAGGAAAGGCTGCTGTTGCTTAATAGGATTTTTCATTTCTTCTTCAGGAAAATATTAGGAGCCAGCACTTAATTCTGTAACAGTGGAGAAAAGATAATACTGAAACAAATACAGAAATTGGAAAAGAAACATGCCTTCCAAAGGTCAAAATTTAAAGTAAAAGGGCTTAAAGACACACATGCAGAGCACTGGATAACCACCACTGCGTGAACAATCCCACCTACGACAGAAAAAATGCAGCAGCCAAATCTTTGCAATTTAGCCACAGACAATGTGTCTATGACTACAAAAATACAGCCTGGAATGTGGGTATTTCACCAAGGAGTTTTTGGTTCTGCACCAAAAAATGTACTAAGCTTTTGCACAAAAGCTGTACACTGAGTCCTTATATACACCAACACTGCAAACAGGGCCTGAGACAAAATCCAGTCCACTTAGAAAAGCTATTCATCTTTTTGCTTTAGCATACCTTAGAGATATGGCCCATGACAAGAAAGATGTATTAGTTTTTTTAAGACCACTGGAAGGACCCTGTCACCCCGCCTGCTGATCTGCACAGGCTGCTCACAGAGTGCTTCTGCAAAGAAGCTTCAGCACTTTCCTTCAGCAGAGCTAAACCATTCTCAGCTGAAAGGCACCAGAAAGCAGAACTGGCTCTGAGCTTCCAAAATTCACAGCAGACCTCACCAGTTAGGGCAAATCTTTGCTCCGTGCCTCCCCTCCCTCCTTCCACCAAGTCCTTCTTGGCAGCGAGCTCCTCACTCAGGGTGTGCAACCCACATTAGCAATTCCTCAGGAAGAGAAGTGTTTTACATGCACAGGGATGAATTAACACCTTTCCCACATAAACACTGGCACTGTAACATTCCTGGCCATGCTGCCTTTGTAGGCTCAGTGAGGGCCATGAGCAGGGTGAGGTATTGCATAAGGAATCAATAATGGTTCTCTGCTGTGGGGGTTTCTTTGATCAGCACTTGAAGGATGTATGTTCAGTAACAGAACAATTTCAAGCTGCAAGAGGATGCAGTCTGGGAAGGCAGCTTCTGTCTTATGGGCCCTCTTGAAATTTGCTGCTAGAAGTGTCCTGGAGCTCATGGAATCAGCTCCTTGCTGCAGGAACGGCCCTGAGCCTTGCACAGCCAACACAGCATCTCCCCTGCCAGCCTGCCTGCCTGTAACTGAGGTGTAACAGCCTCATCAGAAAAACCAGCAGCATCTGAGCCCAGGCTGACCTGAAGCACGGTGATGGGAACACGTTTGCAGAGATGAGAGAGGGGTTCAAATTCCCTCAGGTCTTGGACCTACATCTCCCACATCTGCCCTCTCTTTGTGTCCATATCACCAACATCCTCTTCTCTTTCTCTTTCTCTTTGTTTCCTGAAACAAAAACCTTTTCTTTAGGGCTGAAATGAGGGGGAAAAAAAGCCCTAAAAACCTTCAGAGGTGCTCTCTGCCATATCACTGGAAGGCATTGTACTTGTATTCACTAGCTGTAAATGCTCTGTAGATTCATCCTCTTTAATTCTCTGTCTTTTAAGTGCACAGCATCCACCAGGTTCAAAAGAACAGACATTTCTGGAGTGTGCCTGAGAACAAAATCTGGCGTGAAGAAGAGTGTTTTGAGCCATCTATCAACAAGACATTTTCCGTCTCTGCTCCCCGTAAAAGTCTCTCAAGTTTGACACCCCCAGGTCCATTAATCCACCAGCAGCATGACCCAAAATTGATTTATGGCCATTGACATGGGTCAGACCACAACCTGGGTCTCCATAAAAAGGATCAGGCTCTGGAAAATGACTTCTTACTTGCAACATGGCCAGCAAGGCCTGAGGATTGGGGAACAGCCCACGTGATGAAATACTTGCTGGGATAGTTAAATCTCATAGCACTTTTCTCCAGAAACATCTAAGCCATGAACTTGGCCTCCGTGACTGTTATTGGTGTCCCCAAAGCTTAAATCTTTGCTCTCTGCTTGTCCCTCTATTTATGTCTGCAGTGCCTATCCCTCCATATGAGGAGCAGCTCTTCCCTGAGTTGGGAACACCATCACCACTCAATGCCCATTTCTCAGGTACCACTGCTGATACATAGCCAGAGAGACAAGAAGTAAAAGGAAACATCCTAAGGAATGTTCTTTTCTTTTATGAGAAGTCTCTTTCAGTGGGGTACACCACGTGTAGTGTTAGTCAAACATCTGGCCTGATTCTGGCAAACATAAGCACTTCAACAAGCTTTTTTTGATCTGTACTCCATCAGGGCACACTCTGCCCAGTCCACTGGAAAACACCTTTCCTTCCTCTTGCATCTTGTGGAAAATGGACTCAGCACAGGCAGCTGGGGAGACCCTGGAGATTCATCTCTTGGTAAAGCATCTCATTCAGACCCCTCAGGGTACTCCCCACCTCCAACATCTTGAAAGCTCAGGTAATTTCCCCAGCTGCTTGGGCTGGCAGCACTTCGACAACAAATGTGCTTGAGCATAAGTGCACTGCAAGAACCTCAGTTTATAAACCAATAGCTTGGAGCAGATGGACTCAACCAAAAGCTGAACAACGGGACTGTCCTGTTCCTTCTCTGCATTCAAAGAGCACTCACAGTGAAACTCTAAATCTATTAGAATTTGCCAGAACAAACCAAAGTAACAGGCAGCTCCATCTCTAAATTGCATTTCCTAAGCCAAAAGTGGTATTTTATTATGCTGCAAGAATCTGTGAGCAACGTGATGTCACTATTGCTTCTCTTCTCTGAGAAGGACAGAAACATGTCTGCTTTTTTATTTATGACAGCCTTTTTTAAATTTTACACTTTTTCCTTGATAGTCAGCTTGTCTCAATACTTTTTTTCAGAATTAAGAAGAAAATGGAAAGCCAGCAAGGAAGAAAGAGTCTCTGCAGTGAGTCCTTTAA